AGAGGTGGTTGGTACGTTGTAGGATAGAAGCATTGATCAACAGTTGTCTATTTTGAAGACTGTCATTGGAGGTATGGACGAGCACTTGTCGACCAGGAACTAGAAATCAGGTCTCTTGTTACTCTCTGCCAATTCTGCGGGTCACTGTAAGACCTATGTACCAGAAATTAGTTTCATCCCATCTATGCGAATGTACTACCTGGCAGAGTGGCAGTAGATTAGAATACGAATAGATCACCACAACTGGGATGTTCCCATCGTCGACAATTATATCCGGGAAAGTTTTCGTTTGTCGGGTGCTTCAGTCTCATGCGAAGCTGAGAATAAGCGAAACCTTCCAGTGATGCGCTGGAATTAATGGGGAGAGGGTGAGCGGTGAGCCCCTCATATAGGCTAGCAAGAATGATGGTGAGCATGTGGGAGCCGAGATGGAGAGAACAAGAACGGGCTCGGCCATCAATATTGATGTTTCTAAAATAGACAGAAGCCGTCATGGCCTTCTTTTCCCCCGCCCACTTCCGCTCTGCCCACCCAATGACGTCTTTGCACTCCCCAGACCACAGACGCTGGCAGTCCCACCCAACGCCCACTGGACAGTAGCACCCAATGTTGTTGCCCACTCAAACAAGTACACGCTCACTGCCCTCTTCCCCTCAGGCATCCCTCGTGCCACACACCCACCATACCCGCCCTTACGAAACCACGCGTTTCCATGCTATAGATACAGCCGTTGGTCCAACACTGTATTTGACCTGCATGACCTCATGCCCACTGGACTGGATACGTGCGAAGACACCCTCATATGTCTTAGTGGAGGACTCGAAGGCAAGATGGACGGAGACTGTACCTTCTCCACCCCCGCCTCTTGTAGTATATTTTTTCATCGGCTCAACTGCGTCAGCTCCTCCACTGCAGCGGCGAAACTATCCCGCTGTCACACCACCAGGTGGGTATGCCTCAATAACTTGGCACTTCTACCTCACAGTATGATAGGGGCAGGCCACGCTCTCCGCCGTTAAACCCACAGCACTATTCACACACCCAAGGCGCTACCCAATGGTTGGGCAGAGAGGAATAAAAGTACCGGACGGTGGGCGCCTCGCTATTGTGACAGAACCATCATTTGACGTGTGTGGGATTGGACAGTAGAAGTGCAGGGACTGGCCCCGAAGGAGACAACTGGATTGGGCTCTTGAAGTGGCGTCGGGTTCACTCTTGTTGGCATTGGCTTCTTTGGCGACCATGACCTCATCAATACCTTGATGCGGGTTTCCATCTGCCATGGATTTATTCTCACCTGAATTCTAGATTGACTAAGAAAGGCGGTGACTGGGATCGTCGAAATCGCTTCAAAGCTACAACGGCCTTTATTTTTCCCCATCCGCCGATCTATTGATGCTCGATATTCTTACTGCCACCAAGCTTAGCCGCCCTCACCTTCATCATCCAATGCCCTCACCGTCAAGCGTATCGATCTCAAGAAAAAGTTCATAGGTGCACCCAAAGCCAATCACGTCCGCCCGATATTCCTGTCTTTGGTGAACTCATCAAGAGTTTGTACAATTGTCGCTACGACAGGTTCTTCTCAGCCCTGGTCAGTTGTACTGTTCTCTCCATACAAATATACCAACTGATGATGGATTCCGCCACCCTCAGACAAGCCTTCCGTGTCCCCCTCCCACCTCTCTCGCCTCCTCCCCTCTCGCTCGCACCAAACAATGTGTGCAAAATATGTACATTCTAGCATATAGTCAGATCCTCAAGTCATATCATAGCCTCGCCCCCGATAGTTCGACCACTACCCTTGGTGTCACATAGAACACATTGACGAGTACGTTTGCAGCTCATTCTATTTGGGCGCTAGTCATAATCTCAGTGAATCTTTGTGGCTCGTCGCCAATGGCCTAGCGCAACAGAAAACGCAAACGGTATCATGGAGGCTGTGTGGCCATCACTGAAGGGTGTACAGTGCGAGCAGCTAGTGAAGTACGGCAGCATTCTGCTGAACAAGGTCCAGCGATCCTGTATTAGATGATCATCGATGTAAATTAGCAATGTAGTAGGTAATATCACGATGACCAGTTCTGATGTGCATCTCACAATTTGCGACTCATATCATCGACAGCCGTAGGCAGGAAAAGGGACAGGAAGGAAAGTCGGTATATTGATGCTTTGTCAACGTTGTACGTACTGAGCTAGTTGCTACAACCATGCCTTGGTACCGCGAGCGCGAGTTTGAGAATGAAAAAGTATTTTTTCAATTTTCATTGTGTCGTTCGGGTCCTGTACACTAGCAGTTGTGATGTAGCAC